CACCATGTACTGGCTGGCGGCGCAGGGAGGCCGGCGCCCGGCGGGGACGCTCGGCCCGGCTCGGGCGCGGGGCGCGCGGCAGGCCTGGCGTCGCTCGCCGGGGCGGGGGCCGGGGGCTCGGGCCGCCCGGCTGTTCCTGCCCGCGGCCTCTCTTCCTCCCTCCCTCCCCAGCCGCGCTTACATCCCCGCCGGGCGCCGGCCTCCCTGCGCCGCCAGCCAGTACATGGTGTCCCCCGCGGGAGCCGAGGCCGGGGCGGCCGGACCGGGGGCCGGGATGGGGGGGACGCCGCCGCCTTAGCGGCTGCCGGGCCCCGAGCTGCCGCTGCCCTTGCTGCCGCTGCCGCCGCCGCTGCCGCCGCTGCTGCTGCTGCTGCTGCCCGGGAGGCGGCTGGCGGCGGAGGCTCGGCTCCCAGTAGCCGCACATCCCACAATACACCGCTAAGGAGCCCGACCCGAGCGCTCACCCTCCTCCTCTTCCTCCTCCTCCTCCTCTTCCTCCTCCCCTCGCCTTCCTCGCCGCTTCCCCAGGCACTCTCCCGGCGGCGGCAGCTGCGCCGCCAAAGCCCCGGGCCCCAGCGGCCCCCCACCCCTCACTCGCGCGCTCCCACACTGCCTCCCCCCCCCCCCCGGGGGGGAGGGCCTTTTAATTTAGGGTTTGGGGGGGGGGAGGGGGGGGGGGGGTGGGGCGGGGGGGGGGGGGGAGCGGGGGGTCTCCACGGCTTCTACCTCCCCCCCCCCCGCCGCGGCTGGGGCTACCCCTTCGAGCTACGGAACACTCCACGGCGTGCGCCCCCAGGGCCTCCCAAACTGTTTCCAAACTGCCCAGACTGGAGGTGGACGCGTGGAGACTCGGCGAAAAGGGCTGGGTTTCGAGTGGGGTGATTGTGTGTGTGTTTGACTACAAGGAGCCCCGGGAGGGAGGCAGACGTCGACCCCCCTAAACGAGTTTGCAATCGAGGTATCTCCGATCCCGCTTCCTCTTCGGTCCGCACACCCTCCCCCCCCTCCTTCCCTCCCTCCCTGGAGCTGTGCTGGGGAGGGGAAACCGAGGTTTGGAACCACAGTAGCCTTCACATTCCTGGGAGGATACAACCCTCGCCTGGACGGGGAAGATAGCTCTTTATTTTTTTTTATTTTTTCCTTTCTGTTTTTAGTTTTGGAGGGGAGCGCCCAGTAATTGTCTTAAACACATGCTCCTTCCTCCAGCCACCAGCGACAGAGAGTCCCCTTTTTTGCATTTATCATTTTCCTTCCCCCTTTCTTTATTAAAGGTCCGGGAGTGGCGGCGGCCAATCAGCGCTCGGCTTCCATTTTGTGAGTTCAACTCTGAGGCTTCCCCGGCTTTCGCGTGGATCTGTTTGCAGACCCCTCGGTCTCTCTTCTCGGGCTGCCGAGGCGAAGCAGCCGCCTCGCCGGGGCTTCGTGCTGCTGTATTTCATATTGGGGCTCTTTTCGGGGGTTTGTAATTTGGCCGTGGGTAGGTAATTGGCTGGAGCAGGGCGGCAGGGCGCGGCAGCCAATCAGCACGCGGCTTCTATAGGGCTTGAGTTATTAGACGCTGATCTCAAAACATCCTTCATCAGACTCCAAGGAGAGGCCAACAGATGAGGGGAGCCATTTTTCTGCAATGGAATTAAATGGCCAAGTGGGTTTTTCCTTTGTTGCAAATGGGGAATGCTTCTCCTTTGACTCCACCATCCAGTTCAGGACGCCTGAATGTGTTTAACATTTGCCAAAGGACTCACACTTGGAAGAATGAAGAAGACCTTTTAAAAAGATCTGGATTTTTCCTTATGACTTGGAATCCATCTTTGTCTTGTATAACTAGGTCATAGCACACTATTAATGTCAGCAGTTAACAGTTTTGAATTCAAAAAAAACTAAGTAAACGACATATTTAATTTTTTCCTCTTTTTTTTTTTCTTGGGTGGGTGGAGGGAGAGCTTGGAGCTGTCTTAATCTGTATTCTCTTGACTGAACAATAAATTTTTAAATATAGTTTCCTCTATTAAACACTTAAGCCTGACCATCTTATTAACTCTATTTTTTAACAAGGTAATGTTTTAAATGTATAGTTGTAGCGAAACGGCAACAATAACAAAAAAACTGTGAGCTGTTGTTACTGTTAAATTTTCTAAAAACCTTTTACATTGTAAGTACCCAATCCATTCTGTCCTTACTGCACTGCCGTTTTCATGTTACTGTCGCCTGAGATGTCCTGAATTTTCGGAACCTTCATCTGCATGTGTCTTTGTCTCTGTCTGATGTAAGTCAGTTAAAATGCTTTTAGACGTTTGCTTCTATAAAGCTACGATTTTTAGCTTCGAGCTTTTTTGGAAAAAAAATAATGTTTACAGCCATAGTTGCTATTCAGATTTCTTCCCAGTAGCTCGTACACTTTCTTTAAAAATCGATCTATTTGAAGAAAAACAGCTGTTTTTCTCGACTTGGGTGTGGGGTGGTGGAGGGTGAGAGAAAGGAAGACCTTTTGTATAAAGAAAGACTGAAAGCCGTCACTGGAAACTAGATTAAAACTGGAAAACAAGCCCTATCCGGTTCATGCCAAACACCTACGTTAACTCGGTGGTCTTTTCTAGGTTGGTTGGGATGGCTGGTGAGCTATTTTGCCTTTTGTTTGATTTGACTTGTGTTTTCGCCTTTTGTTTCTTAATGACGATCACACCATTGGTAAAGCCAGAGCAGTAAACAGCCCTCAGCGAAGCCGCCTTTTTGCCAGCCCAACCCTGGAAAGTTTGCAGTCGTGGAAGGAGCAGAAATACCATGAGTATAACTTACAAAAAAAGGTAACAACAAAGGGACACTATAACCCCAGATTTTTCCCCTAACTAAACAACCAAACAACACCTCCCTCAAAAAAAACCTGTTATTTTTATAATAACATCTCCAAAAACAACGCCCAGCTTTTTCTTCTAGACTCCATGGCACCGGGCTGAGCGGGTAAGTAAAAAAAAAAAAAAAATACTAAAATTAAAAAGGAATTTAAAGTTTTTTTTGCCCCCTTCGAGGAATTCTTGATTGAGCAGGCCATGAGCAGGCAGATAGATGACTGGGAGCAGGGGCTTCTTGAGTTTGGCAGCCGATTGCAGTGGGTGGGTGAGGGGACAAGGGCTCTCCAGACCCCTCTGCCTCTTTTGCCCCAAAGGCGAAGAGAGCCTGTCCCCAGTACCCTGGGGCATCCATGGAGCTGCCTGCGCTAGTTCCTTTGGCTAGCCTCAGGTCTGAACCTTGGTGGCAGAGAAGAAATTGAAGTGGTTTGGAGATTGGAGGGGCTGAAAAAGCGAGGAAACCTTCCCACCCATCCTAAGGTGTCGTTCCCATTTGATTGTGGGGGGTTCTGCACCCGGAAGCCAGCTTTTCGGGGCTCCGGTGCTCGCCTGCTCTTCCAAAGAGAAGGACAAAAGGCCGGCGTCCATGTTGGCACCATGACGCAGCATCTCTCCCGCCTGCAGCCCGGCGCTGCTTGTCCTCCGGGCCGCGCTCGCTCCTCCCTCCCAAACACGAGTTTTATTTTCAGGTTTTTGAGCCGAGCCGAGGGTTGGGTCGGGTTGGAGCCAAGGCTGAAGCCGCCCGGAGGTTCAGTACTGCTATGGCTAATGGCGGCCGGCTCTCCTCCTTCCTTCCGCCATCCTGCTTTTCCCCGGTTGTCGCTGGGAGCCGGGAGGCAGTCCCGGGCCCTAAGAGCCTGCAAGGCTCGGCGCCCGCGATCCTGATGTCGGGTCTCGGGAGACCTTAGGCCTCGGGGGGCGTCGCGCACCATGATTCCCGTACTCGCTCCCTCCCCCGCGTACCCCACCCCCCAGGCGCGGCTCCGGCAGTGGCGGCCGCGGGGGGAGCCGAGGCCGGGTCGGGCCGGGCGAGCCGCTCGAGGCGGGTTGAGGACCCCGATCTCCGTTGCAGCCCCGGACTCCCAAGGCCCACGCGGGCACGAGGCCTCGCCCTGGCTGCACTGCCTGCGGTTCTGCCTCGGAAGAGCAGCTAGTAGTTAGCCAAGGGCTAAGAGGCCGCTCGAGCCTCCCTTCACTGCCCACTTGGCTTCAGGAGACCCACCCCTGCCTCCCCCTAGTCGTCCTTTGATAGTCGAGCCGGAGGGGCGGGTCTCCCCTTTTGTCCCCACTTTGGGTTAGAGGCCCTCGCAGTGGCTAAGTCCCTTCACTTGGAAGCCAAGGGCACAGCCTCCAACCTGCTCTCTGTGGGTTGGAGGTGTGTTTTGGAAGGGGGGGCTGGGGCCTGGGAAAGCCGAGTGGGGCCTCCCCCGCGGGATCCCCCCCACACCCCCCGCCGCGATAGTGCCCGAGGGTAAAGCCTTAGATCCCGGCCTTCCCGGGGGAGGGGATGCGGACAGGGCGGGTCTTTGGAAATGCAGATGAGTCGTCTCCTGCTGCTCGTCTCCCGGCCTGAACTTTAGTGACTCAGCCCCCCTCACCGCACCCCCACCCATTCCAGAGTGAGGGCCGCCTTGTCAGCTGGGAAAGGGGGGGGCAGCGTTTCTGTGGCTCCCTTTCCACCTAGTAGACCCTGTTGGTTTGCATTTGGCCAATCCATTCTCTCTGACCTGCAAACTGTGGAACTGCCCCTAACAGATCGTCCGAATTTACAGGTCTTGGCCGGAAGACAGGAGCAATGCCTGTGTTATTCCCACAGTAGACAATCCTTGCTTCCTCCGGACATCTGGAGCAGGCCTAGTTTGACTGACAGCCTTCCCACTAAGGTAGGTAAGAGCCCTTTCCCAAGTTCAGAGAACTGTTGCTGGGGGCTTTGACCTGCGGCCTTCGAAGGGCGGCTTGGGCTCCCCAAACCCGCTGGGCTGGTTCTCCAGCCCCTCCCCCACGCTGATGTGGCGGTTGTGTGTGTGAAATGGGCGGCCTGCTGGGTCCATCCAGCCCCGCCTGTCAGCTTCTGCTGTCGGGGCGTTTAGGGCGGGCGATTCTCTGCTGAATTTAGCAGCTTACTAGAGCAAGGACTACGAAGTATTTCCCAGTGGTGTGTTTTATGGTGGGTGGGAGGGCCCTGGAAGCTTCGGAAGACAGTGACTGTTGGCAGGCTTGCCTGTGGTGCTTCAGACATTCTTCCTGAACCCTATTAGGGTGACCAAATGAGCCCCCTTCTGATGCCTGGCTTGCTGGATAGACAAAGAACCAGAAGACCTGAAGTGTTAGGCTCCAGTTTCCCAAGAGAAAAGGTTTCCTTGGCTTCTCCTTTTCCTGGATCCTCACAGTGGCCCCCCTGGTTCTCAACAAGGCCAGGCGTTTCTAGAATGTGACAAAGCTGGACATGAAAGTAGGTTGGCCCTTTACCTGTCTGTAGTGACCTTACATAGTCAACAAGGTCTGTGTGTAGTCTCTGAGCAGGATCTCCCAGCTGCACCGGCATCAGAAGTCAGCGGTGGAACCCATTCAACCTGACTGTGCCCGCCTCTCGAGTTTGTCTTGTAGGCAGTACATCTAGGAACTTGCCCTTCTTACAAGGTTCCCAGGTACGGCCAGGTTTCTAGACTCTCCCTAGTAGGTGACACCTGGGATGCTACCCGGCTTGGTGGCTAGCAGTTGGCTTGCCCTCCTCCCAGGCAGGAAGCTTCGCTGCTGAAATTGGTGTGGCCCTTGATCTCTGACCCCTGCCCCCCTAGTGTGTTTCTTGTTACGTTACTTTGATAAGCCATTTGGCCGCAGGTGCCGCGGATCCTGCTGGCTTCCCCTATTTAGGCTTCAGCTTCCAGCCTCTTGTCTTCTCTTTTCTCCTCACCCCTACAGTGAGTGCTGACGTGTGAGTTAGGGAGCCTGGAAGGCTTCCCTGAGTTGTTGGAGGCATTTTGGTGCCTAATCAGGGATGCTTCAAGTCTGGCAGCCGTGGGCTAGATGTGGACCAAGCTAGTGACCTTGGACCAGTGTATCTCCCTCCCCCTCTCCCCGTAAAAGACCACAATACCTGCTGGAAAAGGTTGGTGGGAGGATTAAGGGAGATTAAGGGGGCCAGACTCCTGCTCTGACTTCGCAATCAGTTGGCCTCCATTGTGATAAGGATTGTTGCGGGGAGTGGCTGCTCGCTGCGCGGGTGGGGGCTGGGCTGTCTCCTGGGCTCCTCCCCGCCAGCCCACTTCCTGAAGCACGTGCTGGAGCCTCCAGGCAAAGGAGAAAGAAAACTGGCTCTGCTTGGGAAGGCAGCCAGCCCTGTTTTTCTTCCAGTGTTTGAGTCCAGGCTGTTCCGGGCTCCGTGGGCTGTTTTGTGGTTGGGTCACGATTTTAAGGGCCACCCACCAATGGCCCCAAGAGAAGAAATGTCTCACCCAAGGTTATGAGGCCACCACAGGCAGAGCCTGGACAGGGTTCCAGGTGTCTTGATTTTCAGCCCAGAGCCTGGGCCCGTGACACCCCCTTGCCCAGCTGTCTGGGTTATTTTAGGCTCCCTCCTGTGCCAGCTGTCTGCCTTTATCACTGCCAGAGAGCTGTCTGGTTTAGCAAGGCACCACAATGGTCCTGTGGCTCCTGCTGGTGCAGAGGGCCAGGCATCAAGTCCGTGGATGAGCTGGCTTTATGCTGGGAAGGCCGAACTCATCACCCCAATTGAGAAAGGGGGAGGGAAGAGCACTTTCCCAAGTTGGTCTCGTTCATATACATACCCGGTAAGCCTTCGAACACACTTGATCTATCTAAGGGCTCTGGTTAGAGTCCTTGGGTCTGGGGGTCTTTATCTCCTACAGCCTCAGACTAATTGATTTAAGTCGCGCTGTGTCAGCTGTACCCTGGAGGGCTACAGGCTTTAGGGACCAATTAGGCGCTAAACTGCGACTCGATGCTTGAAAGGGGAAGATGGAAGTGACCCGGCCAACGGTGACAGTCTCTACTTCAGGCTTTTTTCCCACCTCCCTTTCTCCTTTCTTTGGCCCCCTTATCACCCCCTGGGCAGTAGGGTGGGGCAGTTTGTCCTGCTGTTGTTCCTGGCCCTGAGGGGTGCCCCGCCTCCTGGTCGCCCACTGAGCGTAGGGCGGGGCTGCTTTGGCCTGCTGAGAGAGGGCCACGCCAGCGGAAGGCTTGCCTGAACTGGGAGGTGGCTGCACTAGCTTTACTACACAGATTCCAGTGTCCCCGCCCCTTCCGGCTCCTCCACCTGGCCTGGAGCCCAAGTTTGGAATATGACCTTTTTAGACTCTCCGAGTTGAGGCAGCCACCGTGATGGGTCGGAAAACCGGCCATCACCGCTGTCCTGTCCCCAGTGTTTTCTCGGAGTGTTCTGTGCCCTCAGGCAAATTCTTGCTGAAGGGAGCCAGGAGGGGAACGTTGAACAACAACAAAAAAACCTTTTGAGCTATTTCTAACATTTTCGTTTGATGGAGGAGGGTCTTGCCGTGTCCAGACTAGTCCTAGTGACAGTTTGGGACCGTAGGTACATTCCTTTGTACCAGCGTTAGCTGGTTTTCAGCCTGGCTACCAAAAATGACTCGCCCATCTTCCGCTTGTTCCCTAAAGCTGTTAGGCAGCCGAGACCTGGCGGGAGACTGCTTAACTAGGTAGATAAGATAGCCCGGCTTCACCCCTCTGCTTTATCTTAAGGCTAGAGCTAGAGTCTTTATCACCCCCTCTTATCTGGACCATCTGCATTTGGATAGCTCAATAATTGATTTATGGCTCTCTGAGAAGGGGAGTGGAGGCCTCAGCCTCCCCCACCCAAATTTGTACTTTGTCCTGAAAGACTGTCTGTCTGTCTCTGCTCCCCTGGATCTGTGGTTCAATCTTACCAGCGACCACCTGGCAGCTCCCTGAGGGGGTTTGTGTGAAGCAGGAACCAGTGGAAGGAATTTCTTGCTTTCCTATGCTCTCTAGGAATTCCTGGATAATCTAGAGTGACCCAGGCCCCCAGAACATCTTGCAGATGAGGGAGTAAGCCACCCTGGGTGGGTGAGTGTGTGTATCTCCTCAACTGGGCCGCACTGGCCCGGCCTGACCTCTGAGGAGGCTCTCGACAGTAGCTGGCTGGATTCCTGGGTATTTTTAGCTACAGATCCAGCCCCACTATCACCAGGAAAGCTGAGTCCAAATCCAACACTCTAGGCCTGGTAGTGCTGGGGCTCTGCCCGCCCCCTGCTGAGGTGGGACTGGGTGGGTAAGGCAGGCTGGAACCCACCCGAGCCAGAACTGATTGCTTTTGGTCTTTTCCTCTCTGCATTTTCCTGCAGACTTGCTCTGTCACCAAGGATGGAGAGTGCAGATGGAGGTCCGGGAAGTTTGTGGGAAGCCGGGAGCCCTCTCTTGGTTGTATGTAGTAGAACAAGTTCTTTTTCTCAGAAGTGAATTCAACCCCTGGCAAATGCAGCCATCCAGTGTCCTGGGTTGAGAGCCAAGCCAAAAGCCGTCTGAGAGAAGAAACCTGGGGGGTCCTACAAAGGTAAGTGGGTCCCAGCTCACTCCAGATCTCCCTCCCTTTGTGTGATTGTTATTCGGAGTGGCCTGCGCCTCTGGCATATCAATGGAAATTGTGTTTCCTTTCTTTCTTTCTTTCTTTCTTTCTTTCTTTATTTATTTATTTATTTATTTATTTATTTTTGCTACCCTCACGGACCACTAATAGCCCTAGCTCCTCCTTCCCTGCCTCCATTGAGTCCTGTCTGCTGTGTCTCTTTGCAGCCCTCCTCCCCCTCAACCAGCACTTAGGCCCTCCCTGATTTAGCCGGTTACCTTGACAACCACTTGGGCCTGTTTCCCTCATCACCACTGAAAACCTGAAGAAGGTTTTCCAGCTGCGGTACATTTGCCCAAGTTGGGCACCCCTCCAGCTTCTATTGGCTCGCCCTCTATGCAACTGTACCCAATATAACACACACAACCTTCCCTGTTCCTCAGCTGTAGTCTCTCTGGTCCGGGGAACTCCATCACACTGCCTCCTCAAGACTGAGCTCCTCACAGGCAGGAACATGGTCTTTTCTCAATAAACAAGTTGCAAAAAAAAGGAACGAATGAGTTGCTGAACATTTGTCAATGGGGCCCTTGATCCAGGGATAAGAGGGGCTTCTCCCTAACAGCTGGAGGTTGGTTCAGGTTTCCACACATCCAGTCCCGGTCGTCTGAGTTTCCACGGGCGGTCGATGCTGCCCTCTGGTGGTGTAGCCATGTATTGCGTCTCCTGGAGCAATGGGGAGGGGGCGGGGAAACAAGAACTGAGGTTGGTCGTTTACTCCGCAAAGTAAAATTTTCTGGATGTTTGTTGAGAACTTGAAGATCGGGAATCTGCATTGTGAGGCCCAGGGCAAGAAGACCCAAGTGAAGAGGTGAACTCCCGATAGTAGGAGTGTACACGTCTTCAGGGTCTGCCGACAGCTGGCAGTCTCCTGGGGTCCTATCACTTGACCACTTTTTTAGAAGTGGACCCTCGGCAGACAGTAACAGGAAAAGGATGGGCCACAGTGACATGGGCCAGCTGTACTGCTAGTACTTGCTTGTGTTATGCTCTTAGCCTAAGAGCTATTTGGGGATGAGAGTGGAGTTCCTGGGATGAGAGACGGGCTAGAGGACACCAGAACGCTTCTTGCTGGAGACAGGGAATTATCAGTTTCCAAAGTTTACGGAAGGGCTAGGTATTCTCAGCTAGGACTCTCAGCTTGTCACGTTTGCCACGGGTCATGTTTGGGGTCGCCCTTCTGAGCCATGTATTTTGAGTCGGCCCTGAACACAGCCTGTTGACCAGAAGTCAGTGCAGAAGGGCTTCGCCGGCAGGGGGCGCCGTGGCTCCACAGTGCGGGCCGACAGAATGGGTGGGGAGGATAGGCGAGCAGAATTCCTGCATTTGCACACTGACGAGGACCAGGGTCAGACTATATGGACGCACACAACCCACTTTTTGGCATCTTCTCCGGACGACCGCGGCTACAACCTATGGGAAGATAGGCTGTGTCAGCTGATTAGCAGCAGGGCTGGATGCGAACCGGGGTGCTAGGGTACAGCCCGCCAATCAACACATCTCTTTGGGGGGGTGGGACCGGCCAATCAAAGGGTCCTTGCTAGAAGGCGGAGCCTGCCAACCAAAGGCTGTCCCTGTGAAGAAGCAGAAACCACGAATCTACCAAGCAGGGGGTGGGGGTGCAGGGACGCGTGGTGATGGGGATGCACTGCGCTTGCGGCTCAGCACCCATTTCCTCGGGTTCTTCATTTCCCCTGGGACTGCAAGACAAAATACCCAGGGCCCGGACCACAGCAGAGGGGAATTAAGACAAGGAGGTGAACCTGGGAGGCTGCCTGGCAGAGGTGGCGCCAGCTGCCCGTGGGTGGAGCCTCGTAGCCCTGCCCTGTAGCCCCGCTCCCGCCCTGTCGCTCAACTGGGCTCTAGCCAGCGCGCAGCATCCAGCGCTGCGGGCTCCGGGCTATGGACGCCCCGGGTGCTCCGGCCCCAGCCGCCGCCCCCAGCTCGGCGAGGAAGGAGCTGAAGATAGTGATCGTAGGTGACGGCGGCTGCGGCAAGACGTCCCTGCTAATGGTGTACTGCCAAGGCTCATTTCCCGAGGTAAGGCCCGCTTAGTGACTGGAGGGGTGAGGGATGAGCTTGGGACCACAGGGAACAAGGGGTTTTCCCCAGCCTGGACCATGGAGTTCCTGATGTCTCCTCCAGGCAACCCTTTGACAGTTCCTGAGCCCAGTGGTTTGCCAGGTCTGAGCTGGTTGGAGCGAGGGTGTTAGACAGTTGTGGGGGAGGGATATGTCTGGGATTGTAGCCCTCCTTTGCACCCCTTAAAAAATCAACCCGACCCCCTCTCCCACAGCACTATGCCCCGTCGGTGTTTGAGAAGTACACGGCTAGTGTGACAGTGGGCAACAAGGAGGTGACCCTGAACCTCTACGACACGGCTGGTGAGTGCACCAGAGCCCAGAGGGTCCCTGTGGTCATCCCCAAGGTTTCCCCTGCCTTCTGGGGGCATTTCCTTCCTGACACCCTAACAGGCCAGGTCCCTGCAGGGTGCTGGCTGGCTGAGAGGTTCTGGAAGCCAAAAGAACCTCAGCCATCTCAGCTTTAAGTGGGGATGATAGATTGAGGTGCATTCTGAGCCCCCGGCGGGGGGGGGGGCCGCCCCGGCGCGGCGCCCCAGCGCTATGTACCTTTCCCCAGCATTGTTCCTCTCCTGTGGTTCTAGAAAAACGTGGGCTGTGCTTCTGCCTCCCAGGGTTGCAGAATTCTGGTCTTTGCTTTGAGTCCCCTGGGGCTTGGATTCCACTGGGCTGTGTTTCTTGGCCCTATAATTTTAGGTTACTGAGGTCTAGATCAGAGAGAGCCTCCAGGATTCTGCCTATAGCTGGGCAGGTCTGTGTGTTGGGACTCCAAGGTCCTGTGATTGTATCTCTCTTCCTGTGCCCCTGGCTTCTGGGATATTAGCGCTCCAGTCCATTCTGTGTTTTCTTGTTTGTTTGTTTTCTGTGAAGAAACAGACCACTTTAGCAAAGACTCTAAAGTCTGGATCAAAATAAGGCACTCTCTGCTACTGCCAGCCCCTCAAAGAGGGAACTCCTGCTCATAGTCCGGGAACACCGCGATTCCCTTTGGGATGTCATCAGCCTTTGCAGGGTAAAGGTTGGACCAGGTGGAGCCTCACCCAGTTCTGTGACTCAGTGTTTAGTGACGGGTGGAACCACGTCATTGAGTGCCCCTTCCCTGCTAGTTCATCCTTGCATGTGTGACCATCTCTTAGTTGGAACACAAATCCAGGCCCTCTCTCCGCCCTTCCTGGAGAAAATCAGGAGGGGACAGTCACCACCTCAGGCCTTTATCTCACTCCTGTAACCGGCAGGTTCTTTTGGAGAGACACCCTACCCCTCTAGTGACCCGCTGAGGCTTCCCACCCATCTCCTCCAACGCCAGGTGTATGAGGAAGGAATTCCTGAGGCGTGGTCTAGAGAGTCTGTCTGGAAAACCCACTTTCACAGGCCTCTTACTAGGAACCAGGGAGGGGCAGGACCATTGACCACACTTTGAGGGACGTTCTGGCTGAACACAGGTATTGCATACCAACCCACATCTCTGAGAGGCCAGGAAGTCTGTTTTCCCCTCCCTCTGCCACCAGGCTTTTCCTCTCGAATCCCAGAATTCCCTGTTCAGGACAGTTCCCCCCCCCACCAGAGCAGAGCAGAGACCATTTTGGGTGTTTTCTGGAAAAAGAAAGATACTCAACAGATATGTCAGGCAGCCGTGTCATATGAGGGCTCAGAAAGCTGCTACTGGGCCGAAGGATGAGTTTGTCCCAAGAGGCTGTGGCGGGATGGAGGGAGACCCCAGTGGCTCTCATGAGGAGCTTGTGGGGATTGTTTGTCGTAATGATCTTGTCTATGAATTTCTACTTCGTGCTTGGAAACAGACCTAGATTCTGACTTGGTTTCACTAGTTGTGCCTTTGAGAGCTTCTGAGCCTCATTCTCATCTTTCCTCAGAGCTAAAAGAGTCAAAAGAATTAAATCAAATTTCATATACCCAGCACAGGGGCTGGCCCTTTGGACGGCTCAGCACATACTGTTCTTTAGACTTCTTTGTTTTGTTTTGTGCTAGGGCTGGAAATCAGACTCTTGGGAATACTAAGTGCTCTACCACCGAGCTAAATCCCCAGCCCTCAATCTGAGTGAGCTTGTTTGTTTGAGACAGGGTCTCTGTTCCTCTGGCTGGCCACCAAACACCCTGAGTAGCCTCTGCGGTCCTCCGATCCTCCAGCCTCCTGAGGTATGCACCACCACACATGGTTCTGGCCCTAGCCCTTTCTGTAGGGTACGGAGAATCAAGATGGGGCCTCAAGAGTGTCCTCTGTGACTGGGGAAATTCTAATGGAAGGAGGAAATTCCCTGGTCAGTGAGCAGAGTGCTTGTGAGGCTGGGTCATTCCCCTCGTGTGTGCACAGTGTTTGTCAGGAGGAGGCTCTACAAGTGTCTGTGGAGTAAATGAACTCATCATCGGGGGGGTGAGTCAGCCCTACCTGTGGCTGGGTCTTGGGGTAATGTGGGAGAAAATGATGGTCAGTAGCTGTCTAGACTAGAGAAAAGGGGAGGCTCAGGGAGTGAGAGCAACGACTGAGTTACAGATGAATTTAGTAAATGCCATAGAAAGTTCTAGAACCGGGGAGAGGAGTCTGCCTTCCCAGTCAGCTGTGATCAGCATTATAGGACAGGAATGATCCCCCCAAATTGAATTTTTTTCTAAACCCAAAATGGAATGGTGACCATGGGCAATGCTAGATCCATGCCCACAAGGCCCATATGAAAGGCCTGTCTGGCTACTTGTCCCCATCCTGCGGAAGTAGTCAGAGACACCACAGCCCTTTACTGAGCACTGGGTGCTCAAGAGGTAGAGGAGGTGGGGCCCCAGCACCCACAGCCTCAGTAGCCTCCCCTGAGCCTTGACATCTTCAGACAGGAAGCTGTGGTGAGGCCGGAAGGTTCCTGGGCAGAGGGGTGGTGTCATGGTGGGGTTGTTTAGACACCACCCAAAGACTCTCGAATCTAGTACTGGCGGGACACAGAGGCTTGGGGTGCTATGTGCGAGAGAATGAATAGGAAAAAAGTGTGTGTGTGTGTGTGTGTGTGTGTGTGTATGTATGTGTGTGTATGGGGGTGGGGCAAGATCTGCTAAGACTAGGAGTCAGGACAAGACAGAGTAAGTCAAGTCACGGACCGCAGTCTAAGGTCAGGCGGGGAGTTCCCTGACTGACTCTTCTTGTCCCTGGGGAGGAAAGGGGGCTGGGGGTGGGCTAGTCGTGTAAAAGCTCCCTCCCTCGGCAGCTTCCCCTTCTCATGCTGCCAACACCCCGGTCTCTAAGCAATGCTTTAGTCAAAACGGCTCACCTCCTGCAGATTTAGGGATCACCGTGGCCAGTCTTCAACACAGCTCTAGGAAAAGGAACTCTTGTCAAGGGGATGCCCCACTTCGCAGGGGAATTATGTCAGGTGGGGTGACAGCCTCACTTCCCCCTGCCCCACAGACTGCAGGGAAATGGGTGAGACTTCAGGAGAGCTCAGGCCCACGGCCCCATTCCTTACTAGAACCAAGGGCATGCTTAGGAGACGCTGGCAGCCTTTGGGACTATGGGCAGGCAACTGTTCATCTTTAGGACAATGGACCAACATAGTGGGTGGGAGCCCCTAAAGGGGCTCAGAGGTTTAGGTTAGAATTTCACCTGGGCTGCCGGGCAGTGGTGGCGCACGCCTTTAATCCCAGCACTTGGGAGGCAGAGGAAGGCGGATTTCTGAGTTTGAGACCAGTCTGGTCTACAGAGTGAATTCCAGGACAGTCAGGGCTACACAGAGAAACCCTGTCTTGAAAAAACCTAAAAAAAAAAAAGAAAGAAAGAAAAAGAGAATTTCACCTGGGTCATTAACTGTAATAGCAGTAGTCACCCCTCTGCTCTGCCCAGTCCCAAAGACTTTTTGTTTCACAAATCAGCATAGCACAAATCACCACTCTCCCAGATAAAGAAATTGAGGCTTAGGAAGAAAGGACTCAGGCCTCAGAATGTATGTGCACCCTCCAGGGAGGCACAGGGCAACAGTACCTAAATTCCTTGTCTTTTGTTTGTTTAGTTTTTAAATTATCTGTCTTCAGACACACCAGAAGAGGGCATCGGATCCCATTACAGATGGTTGTGAGCCACCATGTGGTTGCTAGGAATTGAACTCAGGACCTCTGGAAGAGCAGTCAGTGCTCTTAACCTCTGGGCCATCTCTCCAGCCCTTGTTTTATTGTTTGTTTGTGTGAGGCAGGGTTTCTCTGTGTAGCCCTGGCTGTCCTAGAACTCACTCTGTAGACCAGGCTGGCCTCGAACTCAGAAATACACCTGCCTCTGCCCCTCTGCCTCTGCCTCCCAATGCTGGATTAAAGACATGCACTACCTCAGCCCAACTCAAATTCCTTATTTTTATCAGTGTGAAAGACCCACACTGAATCCTAAGGCCATACAGAATCAAGCCGGGGGAGGAAATAGTGTCTAAGCTGCTCACACACACCCCCACTTCCTACCCCTCCCCCCCCCCCCACATCCCTACTCCCGTTCCCTTCCTCAGGCTCCCTCTTTCATGAGACACTTGTTTTTTTCCCAAGCACCCTTGTCAGGGCTGGGGTGTTGTCCTATTTTAGTGTCCTGTTGCTGTAACAAAAACGGTTATCAAAAGCCACTTTGTGGGAAGAAAGGGCTTAGTTGATTGACAGTCCATCCTTGAGGGGAGCCAATGTAGGACTCACAGAACCTAGCTCAGTGGCTCTCAGCCCTCCTAACACTGCCGCCCTTTAATACAGTTCCTCATGTGGTGGTGGCCCTCAACCATAACATTTTGTTTGCTTGCTACTTCATAACTATAATTTGGATACTGTTATGAATGTCTAATATGCAGGATAGCTGATATGTGTCCTCTGTGAAAGGGTTGTTCAATCCCCAAAGGGGTCGCAACTCACAGCTTGAGAAACACTGACCGAGAATCAGAAAGCATGGACGAGTGCCGCTGCTTACTGGTTTGTTCAGCTACCTTCTTATAGAACCCAGGACCACCGGCTTCAAGGCTGGCACCACCCAAAGTGTGTTTCTCTGACCTCCACAATTAGCAGCCTAGAGAATGCCTCACAGACATGCCCGCAGGCCAATCTGATGGAGGGAAGTGTCAACTGAGGTTCTTTCTTCTCAGATGTGTCAACTTGACAACCAAGATTAGCCATTACAGGTGTAGAGAAAGCAGCTCTTTTCTTGCCTTCTGGGGGTAGGCTGAACAACACAACACAAAACAAAACACCTGAGTACCTTTTATCACAGTCTGTCTAGCTGTGTGGGGTAAGTCATTTCAATTGTCTTTTGTTTTGGTTTTTCTGGCTAGGAAGCAGTTACTGCCTAA